AATTACACATTAAAGTGTGTTCCTGAGAAGTCTATTCATATCTCATGATACATTAATACATTACTTCACAAAAAATATACAATTGTATGGAATGTAGCTTAAGATGCATTGTTTTTCCTCTACTGTTAGATGATATCATATGTCACTGAAAGTCATGGAATGCCTTTAAGTCCACATTTAAACAGAGCACACAGAAGAGTCTAAATGGACTCTCCTTCACTTTTATTTACTTATCTCATTTACATCATTTTTGTAATGCATTTATTTAACATTATCAACCAATGCAATGTTTTATATGAATACAAAAAAACAGAAAATAAAAATATATTGTCTTTATTTTGAGAGGTTATATGAAAAGAAGAAGGATGGATAGTGTAAATAATAAGCAATGAATCACATCATGATGAAACATCTTTTAAACTGAAAACAGTAAGATTGCATACCTTTTATACCAGTCTTAGAGAATCTGAAAACAATTATTTTAAATTGTCCTGTGAGAAACATAGTTATGTTAGCTACACATTCCCAAGTAGCTATATCTAAAACACACCTTAAGTGACAAAATAACCTCTTCAACTAAACCATGTATTCAGTGAGGTTTGAAAGTAAGTAAGATTGTTTTATTATTATTATTATTAATATTATTATTATTAGCGGCTAAACAGAGAAACAGAGCCCAATACTGTAGCAATCTGTCCCCTATAAATAATGCAAGACTTTTTTCTCCTTATTTTCTGGCTGACTCTAGCCCAGTTAGGAGTCCTGGAGACAAGTAGGCCTAAACCACCCTGCAGACACAGAATTCAATCTGTTTCAGAGCTGCAATTCAATTATCGGAAGGATTCTGCTCACTCATTTGTGCAAGAGGCCAAGAGTCTGTTTAGGGGGGTCATATTGAAAAAAAAATAAGCATAAGATCCACTAGAGAACTCAATTTTGATATTTAAGCTTCTTCTTATTGTAATGTTAAAAGACAAGTAAAGCTCCAGCTGCTTCTGGAAATTCCCACCATTTTGCACTTTGGAAGTTTAGGAAACAGAGAAACAACCTGAGAGTTTTTTTTTTCTATGACATCTGACCCCTGAACCATAACCTCCTAGGCACTAAAGCATTCAACACCTCATTTAATCTCCCCCACTGGCCAGGCGCCCAGCAGCGAGGAAGGGAAGAAGGGAAGAATAATATGGAGACTTCATCAATTTTTCATGAATTTTCATTTAGGCCTGAAACCCCTCTTATTCTGATCGATAGATCAAGCTGCTGTCACGTATTTAACACCTGGGGGCTGCAGCTGGACCTCGGGGGATGGCTATAGTCTTCGACAAGATCAGAGGCAGGGCTGGACAGAGCTCACCCCCTCCTGATCCCCTGTGTTTCTTACAAGCACTACCCAGCTCTTAGACCAGAAACCCAACCTCACAGTGTGTCCCCTGACACTCCCTGTGGTAAATGACTGCGCTGTAAGTTCAAGCAGGTTGATCCCTGTTTTGAAGTATATTTATGCTTTCCTGTTCTGTTCCCATAGCAGGCTATTTTTCATATCAATATACAAAAAAAAATACCTAAAAATATTGATTGCCTGGATGAAGACACTTCATAAAAGGAGTTTACTTAAGCAGCAAAAATGCTCAGCTGTCTTGCAATTAAATATATGATTATGCTAATCTGGTGACAAACCTCTTTGTCCTGAAAGACAAATGTACCTTTCACGTAAGATGTATAGAAAACACAGCAAAAATCTTAATATTAAACTCTTTGTTACAATGAAGCAGTGTAGTAGTAGAAAAATATAATTAGTTCCAAATATTAACAAAGATACACGGGATACATAAAGTTATAAGAGAATATGTTACAGGTAAAATAGGAATAGGCAAACATTAGATGATATTAGAGGACAGTGTGAAATTTTTCAGACCATATACAGTAATTACTTAAAATCTAACATGAAACCTGAATGAATTTTAAGCATATATAATATGTTTTATGTTATGTAAGAATAATTGTATTTAAACTTTTGGTGTGCCAGATCCCTGTCTGATGTTAAACCTTACTGTTAGTACTGTCTTAGCCTGGGAAGTCAAATAAAAGTGCACAATATTTGAGATTGTGTGAATGCACTGTAGTCTCCCTTGCTGACACAAGGATTGAAGTTGGGAGTTAAAACCTGAGATATAAAAAATCTAACCATAACTAGCAGCTGAAAACGGTAAAAAACTGCAGGAAGAAAACAAATATAATGCCATTTCAGATTTCTCTGAGCTCCCCATAATGGGAAAAGCTATCAGGATACAGTATTGTTTGATATGAATCCCATCGAGCTGTGAGAGCTAGATGGTCCAGCTGACTGTGCTGAAAAATGAGAAATCTTATGTCTCCTGAAAGGCACTACATTCCTCCATTAGTGTAATTGTAAGAATGTTGTTATTATACTACATAATTTTCTCTAATTAGAGGTGTTCCTTAAAATTATTCCAGTACTAGTGGAAAACAACTTTCATTGGAAGAACTATTCTACATTCAGACTCTGTAAACCCTACATTTCACAATTATTGGTTATCCTTCTTTTCTGTTCAATTTTAGCTGTTTTCTTCTTGTGATGTTTTCATTCTGGGCTTACATAAAAGTTATTGTTTACATTGTTGTGTTCCTGGTATGAACATATATATTTGAACTTAAAAATCAATAAATGATAGAGACTCTTCTACAAACATAGCAGATATGGAGCAGGCAAACTTCCAAAAGTAGGTCAACTGTAAACAACGCCATGAAGCTCTATATATCAGTTTAACTGTAATTTAATGCAGTGCTCGGGTTGTACTGTATGTTTTGTTTTATATTAAGCTGTGTATGTGTGAGTCTGAAGGCACTATGTTAAGGTACAGATGAGGATATGAATCATATATGAAAATGATATTTTACGCCACCGTCCACATCCTTTTCACAGTCGCTGTTAACAGCAATTCTGCGGCCAGAGCAGGACATGAACAAGCCTGTTATTTTTTTTTTCTTCTCAAAATACACAAACATAGTCTTCAAGGTCATTCCAGCAGACCCACATAGCAAAACAAGAATCATGGACACCATTAGCAGTAATCTACTGCTGTGGAACTCTTGCAGGAATAATAGAGATGAAGACTTTAAAGGAATTAAACTGCATTTCAAGTATTATGACAAACTGTCATAATGCATACTCAGATGCATACTTTTGTATATAAATAGAAAATCTTTTGCAATAACACTTAATATTAAGACAAATCAAACCAGGTTTTGTGAAATAAAGAAAAAGCAGTTATGACAGAGGCTAAAACTGAATTTGGCATTTCACAAATACAATGAAGGGTGTCACAAATATATGAAGGAGGCTCCACGGCCAAAATGTTGCGTTTTCCTTCTTCTCTTTTCAGCATGGAATAAACCTATTACTTGTTCTATTGCAGCCTACGCATGCTGATGCAGCTACCCACCTGAACTACTACAGCCTACACCTGCTGCGACCCACTATGCCTTCCTCCAAATCTTTTTCTAGATCTCTTCGTCACACCTTCTCTTCCTCCCTGGGCCACTTGCCCCCTTCTCTCACTAAACCAACATTCCGTCTCTTCACAGCGATCTGTTCCAAGACCAGGCTGACCACCTTCTATTCCTTTACAGATGCCGTCGACATAATATCCTTCCTAAAGGATTTTGCCTGAAATTTAATACTTTTTTCTTTAGACTCTGATACCACCCAGAGTCAAACACAGAGACTTCTAAAACAATTTCCAACACCCGAAGAAGGCTCCACGGCCAAAACGTGTTTTCTTTCTTCTCTTTACAGCATGGAATAAACCTATTACTTGTAATTATTAAATACTGATTATACAAATGTATAAAACTGCAAGCAATAAGATCTAGACCTTTTCATGTTAGTATTCATGTAATTCCATTAAGATAAATATAAGTCAAACTCATTGTTTAAAATACTATATTTCTTCTTTAATTGAAGTACTTTACAATACCCTCACAAAATCCTTATTTTTCCCTGTGTTGTATGTAATTCTTTAGTTGATATATCTCAAGGACAGAAATTAAAATGCCAAAGGCAAACATCTGGAACTCTTGTGAGACCTTGGTCTTTATCTTCACATACAGTTCTTTCAGTGCTACAAAATGAAGAGCAATCTGTATTGTCAGGACCTGTTTAACTGACCTGTGTCCAGTCACAGCATGTGAACAGAACAGTGACCCTCAAATATTGCAACAGCAATAATCGGAGAGCTCAACTTCAAAGTCAAGAAAGCAGCAGAATCATGGGAAGACAGGTGCACAGCTCAAAATGCTCTGCACTATCGTATTTCATGTCTAGGATCTTGCCTACTGTACTGTCCTGGCTGCCAATGTTTTATTATTTTTGCAATTTCTGTTATCTGGCTTTAGCCCATGCATGACCCCCCACCGGCTGACCCCACTAAACAGCAAGGCAAAGTTTAAGGGTGTATGAAACTGTAGCTTTATAGCAGTGTGATGGAAAAGAGATCACAGAGCCTAGGTTTTCACAAAGCACTTTTTAAAAATAGTTTTGTGTCTCAGTAAGCATCAAACCTTGAAGGAATGTGACTTTAAATGAAAGAAATAGAAAAGTTATATGAATGGTTGTGTATTTTCTCTTTAAAATAGATCTTTCTTGTATTATCATGTTTAATGATGAAAACATTAGCGGAGTCTTTCTCTTCAAAATTAGAGTTATTAATCACTATTTAATAATTACAGTTAACATCAAAGTAAAAGCATTAGGAAAAATGTCACATTATCTGTCCTTGTTAGGATATATTACTATAGCATATCCAAGACACTGGCTAGTTCCCAGTTTTAATCTGTCTTTCTTGGTCTTCTGAAATTGTCCAAGGTTAAAGCACCATAAATCTTCCTTATGTTTGGATAAAACGGATAGCTCAAGAAAAAAGGACACAAGTTCAGGGAGCACAAAGTATGCTGGGTTTAAAAGGCAGCGAGGTACTCACATGCAACTTCAAGGGATGCATTGCGGCTCACAGCCTCCCCCAGGTAGTTCCTGGCCACGCAGACATAACTGCCCTCGTCCGGCTTGCTGCGGCGCCCGTGCACGATGCGCAGGAAGAAGAGCGAGCCACTGGGCAGCAGCATGCGGTGGGAGCGGGGGTCGTCCTTGTCGGTCTCCACCCGCTCTCCGTCCTTGTACCACTCCACTGTGGGGGTGGGCCGGCCCTCTGCCTTGCAGTTGAGGGTGGCCGGCTCCCCCTTGGAGACGATCAGGTCAGAGGGGTGCTCCACAATCCGGGGTGGGGAGTCCTCCTGGCGAAGGCGGGATCCTGCAACAGACACAATAGAGGAAAGAACACTTTATATGAAGACATACTTGTTAGCACATTAATGTTGCTATTTTGATGTCTTCAAATTTTCAGATCCCACTGTTTTAACTTTTAAAAAGTTGAGTTAAATCTCAAGACAAGGGGATAAATACTCCTGATCACCTTTTGAAGAACGGAATACTACACCCAAAAGCAAACTCAGCAGCACCAGCAATAGCATCTTTTTTTTACTGTCCTAATTATCTTGCTTCCTCATTTTGTCCTGTTGTCTGTTGGTAACAGTTATCTCTAGACCTTGCCATGCCCCACTTCTGAGCCACTTTCAGTTTACACCTGAGGTCTTGCAAACTTTCTCTGAGTTGTTTCATGCATGAACTTAATTCTCTGAATTCCTCACTATGCACACCACAGTTTTTCTTTTACAAATCTAACTCCATTGATGAACATACTGTATCTCCAAGAATGGAAGCAAGTTTAATTTATCAATAGGTGATTAAAGGATAATTGTGAACCAACAGTACATATCAGTTAGATTAATTAATTAACTGAAGTGCCTCCTTACTGTCCTTACTGTATGAACCAATTCATTAGATTCACTGGCCTACACTGAAGATGACGGAAGATCCAGGCCAATTATTAAACTACAAATCTGAACAAAAGGTGATGCAAGTGAGTGGAAAGGCATATGGGTGAGCCCATAGCCCATTCATTTATTGTGTAAGGGGGATTCATTTGAGTAGAAATCTGAAGAGGTTGGAAAAGGGAGAAATATAACATAGAAATTCATGTTAATAGGCTTTCATCATGTGCTATGATCTTAAAATCCCAGTCGTAGAGATTAGTCTGTTATGGAAGACTGGCATTTCAACGCCCAGGATGGAAAGAGCGATTTAACCATTCCATGCATCATAGGTCAAGGTATGTTTGCATTACCACATTAAGTTCATATTGTCAGCCTGTTAACTTCAAACAGTGGGTACATGCCTCTCAATATAATCTCTTGAGGGTTTTGTTTTCATGGTAAATAAACACAGTGATATTTGATATTTAAAGGTACTGTAGGATTCCTTCAAAACAGCAGCTGATCATTTGCTCCCTCTTCATGTTAAAATCAAACAACTATATTTTTTCCCTCCATCTGTACCCCAAATATGGTATCTGGGTTTTAAATAAAAGAATTTAAATGCCAACTTAGACTGCAGAGATATAGCCTTTTCAAAAGCATGTGAAATGTGTAATTTCTTTCAAAGACATGTCTCATCACACTGCCACTGCCACTGCCACTTCAAAGACCACATTGAAGGCTAGGTACTAAAGTAAAGGGGAAGACTTCTGTCATTATTAATTGTAATACAAATATCAATCAAGGAGTGATTGAGTTCACTATGAATGGGAACTGTTATTTGCACTCCCAATATACTTGTGATAATGTGGTATTGCATGTCAAAGAAACCAGCTGATTGGCACCTCTAACATTTACAGTAAGGATGAAGCTATCACAGATGCGAGTAGATTATACTGTTTCTAACATACTCTAAATGCAGTAAAAAATTCAACCCAACAGCAGATACTTTTAATAACAGTCAAGAAATTAAAGATGACAAGTAAAATACTATTGCTCTTTTTTCAACACAGAAATTTAAAACAAAATGTCCCTTCTCTGTTTACAATGGACAATTATTTTTATTCTGGATGTGGGACGGATGAGAAAATAAATTCACGCTGTTAAAACATCCAATCCTGTATCTATTAACATTCCTAATTACATTTCATGTTAAAATGTTAATTGACTCAAGTTTAATAAAAGAGGTTCTTTTAACACAGGGAAATGCTGCACCACAGATAGTCTGGGCATTATGCTAATTAACTCCAATAAAACTGTTTAGAGTGTTTGTGGTTAGATTTTCGCATAGCCGATATAAAGGGCAGCCAGAAATTTACATCACTTAGACCCACTCAGAGGCTCTAAGAAAAGACTAATCTAAGAAAGCTGACAAGATCTCAAGTCGAAACTAGGCTTTGGGCAATATTTTTTCAAGTCTCACAGCTTTTACTGATTCAAACATAATAAAAAGAATACTCATACAAAATAAAACCAAACATTAGCCAAAACAGGGAAATCATGATTATTAAATAGCTCTCTTGGAAAGCAGTATTTTCTTTTCCCATTACAGAGTTTTCTGAGGAAACATTATCCCTACTGGGATGTCTGTCCGGAATCGTTATCTGGTGGATCAACAATGAACTTTGACCAAGGTCGTTTTAGTTCCTAATACACTGGAACAACAGTGTCTCATTTTAAAGATTCAAGTTAGCACAAATGTTTCATTCTTTAAAAATAATTACTTCTCCCTGCAAAGTACAGCATATAGAGGTCTTTTTAAAGGTATGTATAATTTCCATTTTCAGCAAAAAGAGGGACTTTTATGTAAATTAACACGACTTTTTCTGTGATTCTGCTAATCCTTTTTATTCAATTTCCACCAATCCTGTAGTCTATTACATTTATGAAACATTGTAGAGATGATGTGAGCTCCTAAGTTTTGTTCATTTGTGTAAATCTTCCAACAGATCAGTCAATTTACTTTCCCTGGGGGTTTCAGGTAGTATGAGAAAGCATGCAGTTTAGTATTAACAAAAGAAAGATGTCTTTGAGAACTTTTCTTGAAGTACATTCATTGGCCAAAATGTTTAAACCCTTAATATTCAAACCCTTAGGCACATAATAGACTCTCATATAATAAATGTTTGCCTGGGAAATCTAACCCCTCATTTAATTTCCATGCTTTTACATCACTACTTTCTGCCTGTCAATGCACTAGTTTCCCAGCTCTTCATGCTGATTTCTGTGGTTTTATTGTTGTTTTATGCTACTGTTATATGCCCACTTTGCATCTTCACTAGATGCAATTGTAATTCACTTTAGATAAAAGTGTCGGCCAAATGAATAAATGTGCACTGATTGAACCTGTGAAATATGTAGCTCAATCCCCCTCACCATTTTCCTTGTGACAGCCACAATAGAAGGTACTCTTGCTGTGAGGAAGCATGCGATTGGACTGCAAAAAACTCAAAACCTTGTCACATTATTTGGTGGAGTTGCAAGTGTTTTTTCCCCACTTTATAAAAATATATACATCCCTAAAACAGTCACTGGAATGCCCTTGTGTTAGTGGAACAAAACAGAATGTGCATCATGATTATTTCACCATTGTTTTTATACTAAAAAATTTACCGACTCATATTTCTTCACTGCATAAATCCTAATGAAGTGTGTGAGTGGTACTGAAAATTTGTGTCCTTTGATACACACTGTGATGGCTCTCAGGAAGCCTGAGGGACACAACAGAGATTGTACAGTCAGCACAAAACTTCCACACTTTCCAAAGTGACTTGGCACAGAGCTAGGTCACATGACCAATGTCACACCTAAGTAGTGTCACAATCTATTTCAACAAAACAAAAAAAGCTGGAATACTATTTTCATTTGTTTAATTCTCTGTACCCACTTATAGAGGATCAGTCTTTTTCACGTAGTATTTATATTATTTGCTTTCTTTTAATTTGAACTACTCCTGGTGATTAATTACAGTTACTCACCATCCTTCTAGTGGCATTAGATACAAGCACACTATAATTCTAATGCATTTTATAGAACATGTTGAAGGAATCTGCACTAAAATCCCAAGTTAGTCAGTCTAAGAAAGACTTGTGACCTCAATAAAACATGACTTTAAAAGGGATGGGAGTAAGAAGCTCCATTAAGATACTTGGGACTACACTTTGGTACAGCAGAATTAAATGAATACTGCAGCTTTTTGGCAAGACAAAACATTTTCAAGCAGGGCTGGAGCAAAGGGGTGAGTTTGTATTCTGCTGTAAGTAAGTTAATGAATGAAGTACTAATTAACATTATGGCATTGATAAATGGAGAGTGAGATTAGGGACGTACTCTGTGCTCTGGCCTTCCCAGATGGAGTGTCAAAGGCACATTAATTCCTATCTCATTGGAGCATCTGCTTCTCCCATAATCCATTGCCCCTTGGTACGCACAACACAAACTGTTGTGACTCAATTCGATTTATATCAATCTAATTTCTTTTAATCCAATTTGTATTCCAATCTACTGCCTTCTAATCACTTAAACCTTGAGTCTCCATCTGGTAAATTTTCTCTCAAAATTAACAGAGCAGATGCCTGTGCAATTGTCCTCCCCCGTCAGGCTAATCAGGTCCCTACAGCCTCTCTCGGAGAGTGCCCAGGCAGTACGTGACTCTCTGCCGTGCCCTTCTTGTTAAAGAAACAAGCTCATCATGGATGGAGGCCTTTTAGTCTTCCTCTTTGCATACCAGTTTTGCGCCAGAAAGAGAGCAAGAATGGGAGGAATAAAATGAAAGCCCATGAGTTATAGGATACTACTGGCAATGTTTTTTTTTTCTAAGGCATGCAGGATATGAAAGAAGGAAAAACAATTTTTGTTTAAATGACTTGAGTAATAACCCTCTTTAAAAAAGTATTTACATCTGTGTGCCATCAACATACCACCCAGGCTTTATGTGACAAATGGTGCTTTTTGCAATGCTAACTACTGTCCATTCAAGGCTAGTCACCAAGCTCGGCTTACTAGTGACCCCAGACAGCTCTGAACTCTGATATTAAGAAGTGAAAGGCTAATGGATTATATCGTCATGGCATTCAGTCTCAAGTGACCATGAAGTCAATTTATAGTTTCCTACTTACTGTACACTATTTTACAGTAAGTGGTCTTTCTATAACCTTCTTACTGTAAGCATTGTTTAGCTTCTATGCAACATACAGTACTGTACAGTATATGCCTTTGCCAGGCATTGATTTTCCTGTATCTGCAAAGGAACAAGTAAAGGTTTATTGCATGCTGAAAGGAAAAGAAAAGACACACAATGCTTTGGCTGTGGGGTGTGAGGAACTGATTTTATCTATTTCTAATTTTCATGCTCATATAAATGAACACCAAAGCAAAA